TTTGTGGCGGACGATATTTAATTGTGTCGGCCCGCCACAAATAAATCAATGTATGGGAAACACTGAATGATGTTTTAATTTTGAAAGGCCCTTACAAAAAACATGAATTCAACTGTTTACTTTCTTACTGAGTACTTCTTTAAAAAGGAAAATACTGTACTACTGCATATATCTGACGAAGGTGTGTTACTGGATAGGTTGCCAATCTATATAAAAATTATAATGTATTAAACTATCAAGCATTGTGTAAGAATTGATGTTGCTTTGAGTCAGCTGCATGTGTAAATATTTGGTTGTTAGAAAAGCATTAGCTTGCTGTTTGTCTGTCAGCTTAGGGAGGAATTCTGAAGTGTTTTGTATATTCATTTTACAGGTAAGATACTTGACTGGCCTTTAACAAGTAGTTAAAATTGGTATACAAGTATCAAACACATTCAGCAGTTTCTACAAATGATAGTGAATAAAAGAGCAAATGCTGCAACTAAGGCCGAAACATCTTAATTCGTAATGCACCAAAAGTTGACTGCAGCATCTGTGTGGGTGTTTCTGAGCTACATTTTCCAATATTATCCCTATACTCTCTTCTGCATGTTGTTTTTCTAATAGTAAAACTTTCATTACTTAATTCCTCTGCAGCGGGAGCCAACAGTGCGCTTAGTCGCCGTCTCCCACCCTCCTCCGCTGCGCTACATTAGTGTCAGTAAAGGAGGTCAGATCAGTGTCTGGAGCAGCAGCCTCCACATCCTCAAGACGCTCGGGGTGAGAGGCATCATGATACTTTCAAACTTTAAAACAACAACATTCATTAAAAACACACTCAGACTTTTTTCTATATATTGACTCCAGCTAGCAGGAGACCCCACAGAGGAAGTGGCGAGCACGAGGAGGTTCAGGGGCTGGACCTCTGATGCCGTCTATATGGGAAACGTACACGCGGTTGCCATAGCTACTGACTGCAGGGACTTGCACTTTATAAATGTCTCGACTGGCGCTGTGTTTCAGGACGCCCACCTTTTTGGTATACACATTCAAACATATTTATTTGTACTCAAACCGATAGATTCCTGCACTTTAACTTTATCTGCATATTGACGTATGAATGCTTGTTGTTTGTATGTTGTCTCCTCCTGAATGTTGTACGTCTCTTGTTTGTTTTTTGTATGTTTGATGGCACCTTAAAAAAAGGAGTAGCTCTACTCATCTCATTGTACCTGTATAATGACAATAAAGGATTCTATTCTACTTGATATTTAAATTCATTTTAGCCCAAAAATATCAGTTTTTAACAGTTTTTTTGTCTCATATGAAGGGTTTCGAAGTGTCCCGACGGCGCTTTGTTACTGGCATGATGCTCAGGTAGGACCACACCTTAATGAGATATATTCACTCTAAATGCATAAACTCATTACTTAAACCTGTGTTGTTTTTCCTTCCCAGTCTCCAGAGCATCCCTCTCTGCTGCTCATGGGGGATGACAAAGGAGGAGTCCATCTCCTGTGGTTCCTGAATCCATCCAAAGGTCTTTTCAAGAGTCCTTCCAAGACAGAGAGCGGCCCACAGAGGATCTTCTTCCCAGTAAGATTGGCCCTGTGTACAGTACAGCAGAAAGCAACGAGAAAAACACTTACACTTACTTTTACAAACCACACTCACAAAATGTGTGTGTTGAACACCTGCACGTTTGAAAGAACATCCATAACATTCATCTGTTTGCAACTCATATGAATATTCCAATGAATTGTATATAGACCATTCTGCACTATTTTTATTATTTACTTGCACCATTATCTGTTTTTATTGTGTGGCATTGTCTGAGGAGCATGTGACCTAAGATGTTCATTGTCATAAGACTCATAACTACACTGTAGCTATGTACAAATGACAGTAAAAGCCTTGAATCTTGAATGTCCCTTTCGGTGTCTTTGGCGACACCTATGGTGACATGCGGTAATTGCAGGTGTTTTTTTGTCTCTTTTACTTTGGATTGCATGTTTCATTGTCTGAAAACATAGCTTTACACTTTGTTTGTTCGGCCCTATTAACAGAAAACGTTACGCCTTTGTGCACAATTGCCATAATTCTGCTTAATTTGGGGTACTTACCACAGCTGGGTGATGGAAAAACACCTCAATAACTGAACACGGCTTGTACTTTTTCAAGGAAATGTCACCAGAGACAACCAGTTCATAATACTGCAAATCAAAATTGCTTTCGTCAGAGCAATCACCATTATTTTTGCCTCATTTAAGCTCCTTAAAGAAATCGTTTCAACCCAAATCTGTGTGGGTGTTAACAAGCTACATTATTCCTATACTCTCTTCTCCATGTTGTTTTTGTAAAAGTAAAACTTTCATTACTTAATTCCTCTGCAGCGGGAGCCAACAGTGCGTTTAGTTGATAATCACCATTTTCTTTTTTTGCCTCATTTCAAGCTCTTTAAAAAAATAATTTCAACCAAAATCTTTGAGATGATTACTTGAAGCACCTATGTTATCCACTTTGACAACAGGACCTCGGTGAACACAGCAGCATGGTGTCCTACCGTCACATCCCCAGCGTCCACCAGGAGCCGATCACCAGAGTGATGTTCGAGCCCGGCACCAACGTCGTCATGACGTCATCAGAGAGTGACAACACCTCTGTAGTTTTTATGAACGTGACACTGAAGCAGGAGCCTTACATTTGGACATTTAAGCAGGTAACTGACATGTTTTAAAATAGGTTATTATATGTCATTTATTCCTATTAGTTCATATCAATACGTATCATTTTGATGGGCCTTTTAGATGGTAGGTAGTTTTGTACATGTTATCCCTAAATATTTTACTTGTAGTATATTATTGTGCTCTTTTGGTGTATTGTAGTATGTTTTTTTGCATCCTAAGTTTATTTCCAAACATTTATTCCCCTATGAAAAGTAGTGAGAGGAAACATCATGTGAAGAGCCAAAAGGCAGTGTAATGATTTCTGTTGTTATCCACTTTTGAGGTCATATGGAGGTCACAGTACTCCGGTCTGGGTGACCCTGACCTAACTCTGGGGGTTGAGTCTGTCTTGCACTCCATTCAAATTGTCAATAAATCAATGAATTACCTATTTTGGCTCAAATCCAAATAGTACATGACTCATCCCTAGCTATTTTTACCTAGAGGCAAAAGTATTATTTTGTTTTTGCTTTGGTTGACTCCTGCCCCCCAAACAGACGCAGACAGTGACTGTGGAAGAAAGAAGTCAAGCTGGAGCACAAAACATTATTACACTGGGTGGGGATGCTTCCTGTTATTCACATTGGGTTTTTTAGTTATGAGCACACTTATGCTATTCTCCAATTAACAGTCTGGACTTTTTAACAATGAAATCTCCCCAGTTGTATTTACTATTTTATCCCCCAGTATTATGAGTAAAGGGCAACGTTTACTGTCTTAATCCCCTCTCAAATCCACTTTTTCATGTCTCTTCTACATCTACATGTGTCCCCTCTGTGGAAAGAGACTCTGAAAGTTTCAATAAAAAAGATTCTCTCTCTTTTTGTCCTGATCCATTTATATAAAGACCAGTCTGAAAATGAGCTGATCAGATTTTGGCCACTTTATGATGTCATAATGTTTTTTTGGCTTGTGTAACCATTAGCCAATCAGCAAACCAAGGTAACCCCCCCCCCACACACACACACACACCTTAGAAAATCAGCACTTTGGAAAGAGGGCTGAAACTGAGGGGATTATGGGTAATGCTGTTGGCGTTTCGGCCAATCAGAGACAGGTTCTGTATATATC